AGCTCAGGAGTTGGAGGTTGCTGTGAGGGTGATGCCATAGTACTCTACCCAGGGGGACAGCTTGAGGCTCTGTCTCAAAAAAAAAAAAAAGAATGCAAAAGTATGGCCGGGTACAATGGTTCACACCACAATGCCTGGCTATTTTTTTTTGGGTTGCAGCCATCATTGTTGTTTGGCAGGCCCAGACTAGATTTGAACCCGCCACCTTAGGTGTAGGTGGCTGGTGCCTTAGCCACTTGAGCCACAGGCGCCAAGCCATACTTTTGCATTCTTAAATCATTTTTTAAAACATTCTTTCCACTCATTTTGTTCAAGTGTTGTAAGCTCACTTTCATAGGTGTGAACAGCTTCTTCAGGGCTGGAGAACATTCTTCCACACATGTGATTTTTTACTGTAGGGAACAGGAAATAATCACATGGGACCAGGTCAGAACTGTAGGGTAGATAGGTCATAAGTTTAACCTGTGTGGATCCAGGAACTGAATGGTGATGTTGGCTGTGTGGGCACAGGTGTTGTCATGGTACAAGATGGTCCCCCACAGTCCTATCCTTGGCTGCCATTCTCGAAGCTTCCAGAAAACTTTTGGTAGACATGCTGTTGTGTACCACTGATAGTAAGAGGTCTTTGCTCCTTCAGAGGAACAACTGCAACACGACTACTTTGGGAGAAGAAAGTTGCCATAGTTTTCTTTCCAACACTTCAGGGCCTCTTCACTTCGGTTGACAGATTTTCATCAGGAAAACTCCACACTGTTGACTGACACTTATTCTCTAGATCAAACTGGCAAATCCAGGTTTCATCACCAATAATAATGTCAGAGATGTGTCAAAACTTGCCTCCATTGAATCTGACCAGCATTTCTTCACACTACTCAACATGGAGGTGCTTTTGCTCATCTGTCAAAGTGTGAGGCACCTATAGGGATGCAACTTTCCTGACTTGAAGATAGATAATCGTGCAGGATGTTGGATGCTGTCAGTGACTCAATCTTTAGTGCTGCTTCAGTGTCTTTAAATATCACTTGATCATTTTTGTGAACCATTTTTTCCACAGCCACGTTTTCCTCAGTCTTTCAGTGAAGTTTGGCTTCTTCTAAATTCTCGAAACCACCAAAAAAAGCTGTATAAGAAGGAGTAAGGTCCCCCAAAGCCCATCGCAAATGCAAGGCTTTGTGACTTATTTAACCTACTTTTAAATCATAGCAAATCATTTTGTGACAATGAATAGTGCTGTCTTTCTAGCTCAATAGCTGATGTCAACTGAGTGCCATGAGGACGGAAACAAATGAAAGCCCTCCCAGCAACACCCTCCTTGCAATGAGCTGAGCAAGTTAAAACTTGCCCATGTGAATCAGAAAGGGCACTGCTTTTGACTATATTTCTGGGAAGTGAAATAATGGACCATAACACAGTCTGTCTCAAAACTTTCATAGTGACCTTCATGAAAGTTACCAAAATCCCAAGTAAATCCATCCCTTCTAATATTCTGTCTGGTATTTCTTGATAGCATTTTGTTGACTTGATTTGTTCATGTTTCTCTCTTCCATTATACTTTGAGGTGCCTAAGATCAGGGATTGAATGGGTCCTCTCTCTAACCAAGCAACAAACATGTGCCTGGTACATCATAACAAAAAATACATTTTGTTAAAGAAATAGGTATATTTTTATTTATGAAATTGGGCAAAAAAATACTTTAGTTGTGACAAATTCACTAATTTGTTGACTGAATTTGCAAAGCAAATGTGAGAAATAATGGGAAAGCATATACCCCAATAACATTATAATCTAACATGGAGTAAAAACATTTATGCAAATAACTATACAAGGCAAAGGGTAATACTTGTGAATACCATGAAAAAGCTAGGTAGAGATATGGATGAAGAAGAAAAAAAAGAAAGCTCTCACAGAAATGGTGACATTTCAGGTAGAATTTCAAAAAAACAATATTTTAAACACATTCATTGATTGCCCTCTATGTACCTAACACTATTCCAAGTGCTGGGACCTAAGAATGAGCAAAAAACATTAAAAGTCAGGCATAAGTTGGGCACAGTGGCTTACATCTGGGTTGAGGTGAGAGGATTGCTTGAGGCAGGAGTTCAAGATCAGCCTGGGCAACACCTCATCTCTATAAAACAATTTTTTTTTCTTTGCCCAAATCTCCTCTGTGGAGGCCACGTCCCTCCCCAGCTGCTGAGACTATTGCTGCTGATAGTTCACAGCTGCATCCCCTCTAAAAAAAAATTTTTTTAGGCTCAGTGCCGATAGCACCGTGGTTATGGTTCCAGCCACATACATTGAGGCTGGCAGGTTCAAACTCAGCCCAGGCCAGCCGAACAACAATGACAACTGCAACAACAACAACAACAACAAAAATAGCCAGTGCCTGTAGTCCCAGCGACTTAGGAGGCTGAGGCAAGAGGATCACTTAAGCCCAAGAGTTAGAGGTTGCTGTGATGCCACAGCACTCTACCAAGGTGGTAACATAATGAGACTCTGTCTCAAAAAAAAAAAAAATTTTTTTTTAAATTAGCTGGGCATGGTGGAACACATCTGTAGTCCCAGATACTCAGGAGGCTAAGGCAGAAGGATTGCTTGAGCCTAGGAGTTCCAGGTGTAGCATCACACTTTGAATAGCCACTGTGTTTCTAAAATAATTTTTAAAATAATAAATAAAATAAATATCTATGCCCTCGTGGAACTTTCATTAGTGCTGTGGGAGAAGGACAGTAAATAAATGATTAAAACATATAGAGCAAAAAGGAAAAAGAAAGCAGTTAAAATCATAAGCAATTGGGAGAAGGTATAATTTTAAATAAGGTGGTCATGGAAAGTTTCAATGACAATATTTAAGTAAAGGTCTGAAAGAGGCTCGGTGCCTGTGGCTGGCACCAGCCACATACATCTGAGCTGCTGGGTTCAAATCCAGCCTGGGCCCACCAAATAACAATGATGGCTACAACTAAAAAATAGCTGGGCATTGTGGCAAGTGCCTATAGTCCTAGCTACTTAGGAGGTGGAGACAGGAGACTCGCTTGAGCTCATGAGTTGGAGGTTGCTGTGAGCTGTGATGCCAAAGTACTCTACCCAGGACGACAACTTGAGGCTCTGTCTCAAAAAAAAAAAAAAAAAAAAAAAAAGATCTGAAAGAGTTCAAGGAGTAAGTTATCTGTTCTCTGGATGTGACCTTTACCTAGAGAAGGTAGAGAAGAAGTCCAGTGTAGGGGAGAATAAGGTTAGGAGAGAACAGAAAGAGATGAGGCCTGAGAGATGATGGTTGGATCAGCTGTGAAGTAGGGTAGGGATAGAGCTTTATGGGCCACTGTAAGACTCTAAGTGAGATATGAAGCCACCGGCAGATTTTACAAGAAGCATGATCTAGACAGAAACATCCCATATTGCAATATGGCCTCCTATTCTTCTTTCTCTTCCCTATCCCAAACTACTCACTAAAGTAAACAATGATCTCTAAATCTGTTGCACGCTTGGTTTTTAAAATCTTATTTAATCCTTCTATTGAAAGATTAACACTAATGACTATTTCCTTCTTACTGGAACTCTTCTCTTTTTTTTTTTTTTTTGAGACATAACTTCAAGCTGTCCCCCTGGGTAGAATGCTGTGGCGTCACAGCTCACAGCAACCTCCAACTCCTGGGCTCAAGCGAGTCTCCTCCTGCCTTCACCTCCCAAGTAGCTGGGAACACAGGCGCCTGCCACAACGCCTGGCTATTTTTTTGGTTGCAGCCGTCATTGTTGTTTGGTGGGCCCGGGCTGCATTCAAACCTGCCACCTTTGGTGTATGTGGCTGGCACCTTAGCCACTTGAGCCACAGGCACTGAGCCCTATTCTCTCTTGATGTTTCTATGGTTTTCCTCCAATCTCTAGAAACTATTCTTTGGCCTTCACATTATCTTCTTTCTCAATGTGACCCTTAAATATGGAGTTCCCCAGGTACTATCAACCTTTATTTCTTACTTACCTAAGTGAGTTCACCGGTATCCACAACTCCACCTACCACATATATACCAATGGCTCACAAAGCCATCTCCCTCTTATAGAGCAGACCAGTATTTCCAACCATCTACCACACAATTTCTTAGATGTTTCAAGGGTACCTCAAATAACATGTCCCAATTGAAATCAAGTCACTAAATACTCTTCTCATACATACAATATACTAAGACTTCTCTTCCTAAAGACAACTCTCTTATCGCAACTTCTGATTTGTAGGAAAATAATTTTCCTTTTTTTTGAGACAGAGCCTCAAGCTGTCCCCCTGGGTTGAGTGCTGTGACCAAGTAGCTGGGACCATAGGCGCCTGCCACAGTGCCCTGCTATTTTTTGGTTGCAGCTGTCATTGTTGTTTGGCGGGCCCGGGCTGGATTCGAACCCACCATTGAGCCACAGGCACCTAGCCGGAAAATAATTTTCAAACAGTACTTCATTATTTATTTACTTTAGAGACAGGGTCTCACTTTGTCACCCAGGCTGGAATGCAGCAGTTTGATTATAGCTCAGTGCAGCTTCAAACTCCTGGGCTTAAGCCATTCTCCTGCCTCAGCCTCCCAAGTAGCTAGCTAGAACTAAAGGCAAAGCCACTATGCTAAGCCAACAAATTATTTTAAAAGCCTACCTGTGTGTTTCAGCTTCTTTTTCTTTCCTCATTAGTGTAAGACGCTTTTTTGCTTTGATAAATTTTCTAATCTTTTCATTTTCTTCCTCTTGCTGCTGTTGCTCTACAGCTTTGATGATATTTTTATCATGTATATGTTCCTTGGGGAAAAAATTATTATATTATCCTATCACAAAGGAAAATATCTTTCAACACATCAATATCTAATAAGAACCTATCAAATTCTGACCAAGTCATTTCTCTATAAGACATTTTTACCAAAGAGATGATCAGAGATACACATAAATATTTATACCATGTACTTTCTCTCATAGTTATTTATAATAGCAAACAAATTGGAAATAACTTCTAAAAATTCAATAATAGAGAAATGGTTAAATAAACCATAGTCTCAATGACTTAGGATGATACAAATAATATAATCAATAAGTGGGAAGGTTTGGGCAAGACCCTCAGATAAAAAAAGAAAAAAGAAATAAGTCGAGGGGGAGAAAGCAGAATACATGTATAAAATAATATATAATATTATATATTCCAATTTCAGAAATCTATATAAGTACATATCATTGTTAACAGTAGTTATCTCTGGGCTCGGTGCCTGTGGCTGAAGTGGCTAAGGTGCCAGCCAAATACACCTAAGGTGGTGGGTTTGAATCCAGCCTGGGCCCGCCAAACAACAATGATGGCTGCAACCAAAAAATAGCCAGGTGTTGTGGCGGGCACCTGTGGTACCAGCTACTTGGGAGGCAGAGGCAGGAGACTCGCTTGAGCCCAGGAGTTGGAGGTTGCTGTGAGCTGTGATGCCACAGCACTCTACCCAGGGGAATAGCTTGAGGCTCCGTCTTAAAAAAAAAAAAATAGTAGTTATCTCTGGTATGAGATAATTGATGACTTTTATACCTTATCAATGATTTTCAGTATTCCTTTTTTTTTTTTCTGTGAAACAGAGTCTCACTTTGTCATCCTGGGTAAAGTGCTAAGGTGTCATAGCTCACAGCACAAACCTTAAACTCTTCAGTTCAGGCAGTCCTCTGGTCTCAACATCTGGAGTAGCTGGGACTATAGATGCAGGCCACAATTTCCAGCTAGTTTTTTCTGTTTTTCGTAGAGACAGGGGTCTCACTCATGCTTAGCCTGGTCCCAAATGCCTGAGTTTAAGCAATCCACCCACCTTGGCCTACCAGAGTGCTAGGATTACAAGTGTGAGCCACTGCACCAGGCCTCAAATTGGTTTTGTTTTTTTATTTTTTATTAAATCATACCTGTGTACTTAAATGCAATTATGGGGTACAATGTGCTGGGTTTATATACAATTTGAAATACTTTCATCAAACAGGTTAACATAGGCTTCACTGCATTTTCTTAGTTACTGTGTTAAGATATTTATATTCTACCCTTAGTAGATTTAACATGTACCCTTGTAAAATGCACCATAGTTGTGGTCCCACCAATTACCCTCCCTCCACCCATTCTCCCCCTCCCTCCCATTCCTCTCCTCTTTCCCCTTCATCTTGGGCTACAATTGGGTTATAGCTTTCATATGGAAATATGGGTGCTTATAAATTAGTTTCTTTTTTTTTAATTATTTATTTATTTATTTCAGTTTTTGACCGAGGCTAGGTTTGAACCCACCACCTCTGACATATGGGGCTGGCACCCTACTCCTTTGAGCCACAGGCACCACCCTATAAATTAGTTTCATCGTAGGGCTGAGTACATTACTTTTTCTTCCATTCTTGAGGTACTTCACTAAGAAGAATATGTTCCAGCTCCATCCAAGTAAACATGAAAGAGATAAAGTCTCCATCTTTCTTTAAGGCTGCATAATATTCCATGGTGTACCTATACCACAATTTATTAATCCATTCATGGGTCGATGGGCACTTGTGCTTCTTCCATGACTTAGCAATTATGAATTGGGCTCCAATAAACATTCTGGTGCAAATATCTCTGTTATAAAGTGATTTTTGGTCCTCTGGATATATACCTAATAGAGGAATTGAAGGATCGAATGGCAGGTCTATTTTTAGATCCCTAAGTGATCTCCAAACATCTTTCCAAAAGGAAC